CCCGCCACCCCGGCACTGTTCCGCCGGTGTCCCGCCACTGCCCGCCACCCCGCCACTGTTCCGCCGGTGTCCTGCCACTGTCCCGCGACTGTCCCGCCACTGTCCCGCCACTGTCCTGCCTTTTCAAGACTGTTTCCAGGTTCTTTTGCTGCTTGTTTGGCTCGCGAGGGTTGAACCAGTATCTAAAGTCTTCACACACAACACACACAGTTGTCACACATAGCATGCTGTTTGCTCTATGCTTGCAAATGCGAAGCTGCGAAGCTTCTGTATGCACGGAACAACACAACTTTTGAACTCCGAGTCTTCAGGCACGAATCATGCATAGTCATGCAGTGAGAGAGTCATGCAGCTGCTCTTAGCGGTCTGTTGCACACCATCAGGCATGCAAGAGAAAAAAGAAACACACGTCAGCTCACCTTTCATTGCTTCCACCATTTCCACCACCAGATTTGCTCCCCGCCATCTTGAATGCTGAGTTTCCAGCACCACCGCCACCTGGCCTGATGGCTAGGTGGCGGTGTGCGGGATCTTTCGTGCCGGCCGGCCTCACCACTTGCTGTTCCTTTGACGGAGGCAACCGTGCGGGTCTCCTCCTCTCTTTCGACCCTTTGAACCGCACGGCTACTCTGTGGCGAAGCACCCCGCTTCCTTTTGTCTGACATGCTGACTGCTAGCAGAAGGTTGATGCTTGAACACACATTCTGCGGATCAGTTTCAACCTTTGTGTTTGCAGCTTGGCAAGAAGGTGCATTCCCGTCAAGATTTGTCTCACAGTGGCTTGTTAGCTAACTAGTTAGAAAGGGAACCGTCCCCTTTGGAAAGAAGGACCGGTGGGCACCGGCCTGCCGGCCAATGGCCGACGATCATCTGGACACAGAGATCGCCGGCTACAGGGCCGGACGAGTGCTGCGGGTTCTTGGCCGCCCTTTGAGGGTGACTGAGCCTTGTGTTGGACTGGGAGGGCTACGACGGTTGTGTGAGCTGTCAGGAAGCCAGTACCTGTCCACACAGGGCTTTGACACGGAAGCTTCCTTGCTTCCCTACTACAATAACTTGCAGAGGTTTTGTGGTGCTAGCGGTGTCCAAGCCTTGAGATTGGGCACTGACGGCGATGTGGAGAAAGTTAATCCGGAGAGCTTGTTGCCCGTGGAAGCCATTGTGGCTGGCCCCCCGTGCCAGCCATGGGCAGGAACCGGACAGCAGCAGGGCACAGCTGATGCAAGAGCTTCGGTCATGGATGTCTGCATCGGCTGGATCATAGCTCAGGCTTGGCAGGGTCAGCTGCTAGCCTTCGCTGTGGAAAACAGCCCCCGGCTGCGTGGAACTCCATATCTGCGGGAACTGCTGCAGCGACTGCGGGCGTGCATCCCCATGTTTGCTGTCTCCGTGGAAGTGCATGACCTGTGTCAGCTTTGCCCGCAGCACCGGGAACGTTTGTGGATCCGGGGCTTGAGGAGGGATTGCCTCCGAGGCTTGCCTGGCCTGCCGCCGCCTTTGAGCATGAAAGACCTCGGTGGCAAGGTGCCTTTGGAGACCGTGTTGGACTCGAGAGCACTCCCAGCGGACCCAGGATCACTCTCCCCAAACATGCAGTGCAACTTGGCGGCCTATTTGACTCGTGTGCAGGGAGACATAGAAAATGGGAAAGCAGGCGAGATAGCCGTGATCGAGCTGGACCGCAATCCTTTGAAGGATTTCGGCGGCGGTATAGTCTACGACGGCACCCCGCCTCTGCGAACAAAAGGGCCGAAGCTGTGGCTGCTTCTGACACAAGATGTCAAGGAGAAGCGCCCTTGGCAAGAGCACAGCTTGCATAGGTACATGCTACAGGAGGAAAAAGCTATGCTCCAGGGGCACGAACCCCGAACCCCGTGGCTCTTCAGCAGCCAGACCCAAGCAGAGAAAGCAATCGGTAATGCTTACCACCCTTTGCATTTGGGCATCATGCTGTGCCCTTTGCTGGAGATTGCTTTCCTGCAGGGCAAGTTGAAGTCCGAGCCGCAGACCATTACTCAGGAAGAGTTGTGGCAGCTAACCCCTCCCCCAGAGGCAGCTCTGGCAGCTCAGCTGTCAGAAGTCAGAAGGCGATGAAATGGACGAGGATGAACAAGCCGCAGTTCACCCGGAGCCAACGATGCCACTGCCCATAAAGGTGAAGGTTGAGCCTGGGTGCAAGACTTGGGCAGTTCACCCGGAGCCAACGATGCCACTGCCCATAAAGGTGAAGGTTGAGCCTGAGTGCAAGACTTGGGCAGTTCACCCGGAGCCAACGATGCCACTGCCCATAAAGGTGGAGACTTGGGCTTCCGGCAGACTCAAAATGGAAAGGTCCAAGCGGGACTCTGTGGTGAATTTGGCTTCACCGCAGAGGCGGGTCCGGAGAAAGAGAGGCGACTGCTAGGTTGGCTAACAGATTAATTCGACAATTAGCAACCAAGCCGGTTGCTGCAAATTACGTGCAACCGTGCTGCTGGATGTGAATTAGACAGAAACTGAACGGCGAAAACAAATAGGTTTCATTGGAGCAGACCGAGGCACGACAGAGCAAGCCAATCCATTAATGTGTGATTCCCATAGCACACCCACATATTCATGCTAGGGGTAGGGTTTCAGCTCAGCAGAGCGAGAGTTCGCTGTAGGAGCCTTTGGTGTTGCTTTTGAAACCATGGATGAAAGAATCCTCTGAGCTTTTCCCGCAGCCGTGTTGGGCCGCTCTGCCCAGGGTGTTAACTGGTGGGTGTACAGTGTGCAAGAGACTGCTGTTCTGTAGTGAACATGGCAGCTGCGGGATCGGCTGGGGAACCTGCGGCGGCGAGCGGAGAGACTGCACTGGGGGCACTGTGCTGCCAAAAGTGTGGCCAGTCGACGACCATGTCGCTGTCATCAGCGACTGGTCGAAATCCATTGCTCCGAGCCTGTAATGGCTGTTTGGCAACAGATCGCTGGATCAGCCGCATCACAACGAAACCCAAGAACCGCGAAGAAACTGAAGACGAAAAGCAAAGGAGGGCGAACGGTATGAAGATAAAAGAGGACCTCAAGAAGAAGTCGGCTGAAGAGAAGAAAGCCTTCTACCTCGAACAGAAAGTCAACCGCCAAGCGGAGGACCAGAAGAAGAAAAGGACGTTCTCGTCCGCGGTGGGATCCGTGGAGGAGTCGAGGGAGGCCGCGGCTCTGAGAGACGATGTCACGAATTACATACCCTTTAAGAAATGGGCGGCTCAGGAAATGGCACTCCGAATCTATTCGAGTCTCGGTGAGGCGAAGGTTGCCTGGGAGAAGTTGCTTCAGGATCCGAGCACAGTGAGCATAATGGAACACGGTGAGGCGCTCGTGTTGGATTATTCGGGCATCCAAGTCCGTGGACGACAGTCCCACAGCCTCAAGTCAGCCATGCGGCAGAGGATGGACATCTCCGAGCAGAAGGATTTGGATGAGTACATGGAGGAGTCCGACTCCCGCATCAAAAGGGGCCGGTCGAGGCTGGCTGTGGAGATGACCGCGAACTCGGAAAAGACCGGCGACGAGCCCATGTCCGTCATCCCACTGCTGACGGTTTCAAAGGATTTGAGCCAGCTGCGGGAACTGGAGGAGGCCCGAGATGCGGATCTGCAGATGCAGGCAATTGCCATAGAGGAAAGCCAGAGGCAGGAAAGGAGGAGAGAAAGCGGAAGGCCGAGGCCGTCGAGAAGAGCCTGCCTCTGGAGAAGTTGGCCCTGCAGGCCTCCCGGAAGAAGGCCATCCAAACGATGGGAGATGTTGTCCTCCGGAACCAGGCGACAATCACAGCACTCTCCGCTGAGAGCCAGAAGCTTTGTGAGTTTGAGAACCAGGACCTGAAGGACGAACTGAAAGAGAAGATGAGCCACGTCGACCGGGCTATTGCGGTTCTGAGTGAGGAGATCGCCAAGTATGACTCTGAGTGGGAGAAGAAGGAAGTGGAGGCCACAACCACGGCGGATGAGATGGCCGAGCTCCGAGGGGAGATCGCAGTGGTCCTCAAGGGGTTCCACTCCAACAACGACTCATGCAAGAACGTGAAGAACAAGATCCAAGACGTGCGAATTTGGATGGCGAAGACGAAGAAATCGATCAACGAGCGAGAGAAAGCAGCTGCCAAAACAGCCGCTGGAAAGAAGATGGGCAAGCTTGCAGCAAGCATGCCCCTGGAAGCCTTGGCCGAGAAATTGGCGAAGGAGCTGACGGGTGAAAGCTCCTTTGGCAGCGTGGACTACAGCTTGACCCCCAAGCAGCTGCTGGAGAAGCTGGCCCCGGTCACCTTCGATCTTGCTCGGGGGAAGAGCCTCTGCGAGACAGTGGCCACCCTCGACTACTACCGACTTCAGCAGTCGTGGGTGCTTGAGAAGATGAAGGCGAGTGGGTCGAACTCCTGCTGTGCGGTGATATCCAAGAAAGCAGTCGCCAAAAGGCTGAAGGACCAGCTGATCCGGCAGTACCCTGAAACTGGCGACTCCGAGGGGGATGCGATGGCAGGATTCCCGACCGAGATGCAGGACACCTTCAGCTTGCAGTTCGGCCAGCGTTTGGGGGGCACAGCCTCGTTGTGGACCCGGACAGACATGAACTGCCCGATGCTCATGGTTTGCCTGGAGGGCAAGCTCACAGTGGGCGGGGTGCCATCGAAGCACCTGCAGGCCGCGACCTTGGCAGAGCTGCCCAAGAAGCTCGAGAAGATGAATGCCAAGGATTTGGCCCAGCTTGTGAAGACCAAGGGCTGGATGGTTCAGGTGCAGGCTCAAGGCAGCATCGTCATTCCGCCAGACACGTGCTGGTTCGAGGTTTCCTCGGGGGAGACTGTGCACAGCCTCAGGATGCTGATGGCTCGCGAGTCGCTGGCTGGGCCAATGAAAGCTTTCTTGGAGAAGATGCAGTCGGAGGGCAGTCTCCAGGATGGCGATTCTTACTCCAAGATGCTGGCATGGCTCCGAGGGAACAATGCTGCGGCATAGGCCAGCAAAACAAAGGCCGGGGCATCGATGCTGGATGACCCGAGCATCGCCCCAGCAGTGGCACCGATGCTGGATGACCGGAGCATCGCCACAGCAGTCCCACCGATGCTGGATGCACAGTGCACAGCAGACGCGGCGATGCTGGATCGTGAGCATCGCCGCAGCAGTCCCACTGATGCTGGATGCACAGTGCACAGGGGGGGGGCATTTTCAGAGTGAGTGCTAGGCGCTAGCTTACCAGGGTCCAGTAGTCGCACATGATGTCCATCAGAGAGATGCAAGGTAATAAGAGTGCATTTTGACCTGGGCCCGTGTTTTCCTCCATGATGCTAGCCTGACTTGAGGGGTGACCCGACCGCGAGAAAGTGATTGCTTGTGTGTGCATGTATGGATGTGTTCGTAGCTCGGCTAGTCTAGTTTGTTGCGGCACGAGGGTCCATGGATGCAAAATGTGGCTCAGAGCAGCACTCCAGCGAGGTCAGGGTACCGAGGAGAGCACAACGGGGATCCACAATAGCATGTTGCGCAGCATGGCATCCGACGAGCAACCTTCGGAATCCCCGATCTTCCCATCGCAGATTGATGTCTCCGATGGGGAGGAAGCCCTTGGCGAGACTCGTGAGAAAGTTCTTCCGCTTGCTTCGCGAGGTGATGTGCTGAAGAGGAGCAAAAAGTTTTTCGAGGGAGACAAAGACCTTGAGTTATTCTGTTTCGAGCAAGAGCTCGAGACAGTTAAAGAGGAGAATGTCAAGCTCAAGCTCACGACGAAATCGCAGCAGGACTCCATCGCCGTCTTGAGCCAAAAGATCCATCAGCTGGAGTCGTCCAAAAGCCAGGGCAGCCAGGGCGAACGGTGGTTTGGCGAGAATGAACAGTTCACCTATGTAACCAAGCGAGGAATCCAAACCTTGTTTGGCGGCTCGTCGCCGTCTCAGCCGTCGCCAAAAAAAAATCGCCAGCTCTCACCCTGACAAGGTGTGGAGGGCATTGCAAACCAGAAGAGTTTGCAGTGCCAAAGTTTTGACGGGAGCAAAGGGCCACCAGTAGGTTTGTGTGCCGTAGTCCTAGTTTTGACTCGTGTTGACAGGCGGTTGAAAAAAACAGGGAGTCCGAGTGCCGTGTGAGTGAGAGGGGCCACCCAAAAACCCTAAACACCTAACCTTCAAACCTAAACCCTACCTTAAACCCTAAACCCCAAAACCCTCAACCCTTAAACCTTAACCCTAAAACCCCAAACCCTAAAGCAGAGGAAAGTTTTGTGTTTGCACCGGGTAGGGACGCAGTTCTGACACGACATTTGTGTGCGAGCTGCAAAACAAACTGTTCGCGAATACTTGAAGCATTAGTTTCATGGCTTTGTGGGCAACATCACATAAAAGTGGCTGTAAGCTGAACATACCACCGTGTCCATCCGAATTATCGTGTAGGTGCCGCTGTTGGCACTATTTCGTAAGAATATCACTATGACGTCTGTTGCCACTTTTGGAGCCCGGGCCATTCTTATGGCGGTAATGCATCGTTTCAATTTCTGAAATAAACACGACCCAAGTTCCATCAATTTGGTACATCTGCACCGAAAGACACCTGCACTGGCAGTGAAAATGAGGTTCTGGGCTATAACTATCATTCGAGTCTCAAGTGAAAGTGATCGCCTCCTATTGACCGGCCCGCCGCTGCTTCTGTTGATATGTAAACAAAAGCCCGGAAATAGAGAGTTTTGGAACATTTGCAATTATGAGATGAACTCATATTGTTGTTGTTGGCCTCCAAACCCAGAACCTCGTGCCGGAAATTGTGTTTACCCCAAATATGGCCATATTTGCCCGAACCTCATAGCTTTTTGGGGTAGGGGTTTGGGTAGGTGCGCATGACCCGGGCTCCAGAGCAAACACCATAGGGGGTGGCATCCGTGCCTTTGTACCGTTGTCACCACACGGATCCGGGCAATCTTCGCCCGATTTCGGTTGCTTCCCTTGTGTATAGGGCGTGGGGCCGAGTAATTGCCAAGCGCATCCATGCCCTGCTTGAAGTGTCACTCCCGTCATGCGCGCATGGCTTCAGGAAAGGGGAATCTGCTCAATCTACCTTGGCTTGGGTGTTTCTGAAATGCCAAAACTCTGTGTTGGCTCAGCGGCCCTTGCATGTCCTGAGCTATGACGTCAGCAAATGTTTTGACAGCCTTCCTTGGGATGCTGTTCGTGACAGTCTGTTTGCGTGTGGGGTGCATCGGGCCACGGCTCAAGCTCTCCATAATCACTGGCATTCGCTCAGACGGATTTGGAAACTCCAAGGCCGCTATCATGATGCAACCTTTGATGCAAGTAATGGCTTGTTTCAGGGCGACCCCACGGCGCCGGCGGGCCTCGCTGCGTTCCTTGTTGAGCCGATGTTGCATATTGGACAAGCTTGGCCCATGGTGCGAGCTTCGCAGTACGCTGATGACATTTTGTTGGTGTCTGAAGATGCCAGCAGCTTGGCAGCAGCCAACAAATACTTGGAAGGGTGGATGCGCAAGCATAGAGTGCAGTTCAATGTTGGCAAGTGCCACTATTTCTGCACGGATACTCAGGCCGCTACTTCCGACTTTCAGGTTGGGGGGAAAACACTTGAATGCGCCAGTCTTCTGGAAAATCTGGGTGACCGGTTCCAATTAGACTCGGAGGGCCTGCCGGTTGCGGATGAGCAGCATCAAACCGGAGTTTATGAGCGTTTCACCGAAGTTGCTCAGCGTTTGGGGCGGCTCTCGGTTGGCTGGGACGTTCGCTCTGCGGACGTGAAGGCTATCATGCCTATGCTTACGTACTCAGCTTTGTTATGGAACCCCGCGGACTTTTCTGATGCTCGCAAACAACGACTGATGGTCAATGTGTTATCGGGTGGCAAAGAGAACACGCGTAGGTGCGTGGAGGTATCCCTTGCGGTGCTTAGTCCGGTTCATCGCACCCGCATCCCTGCTGCGTTGCTTCATGAACAAATGCTGGTTCTTGGACGCCTCATCAATGTCAACGCTGACTTTCGGCAAGAGGTGCAGAAACATTTTCGTCTGTGCAGTGCCATGGAAGTGGCCCCCTCGGGTTCCTTCTATGCCAGCTTTCGGGCGTCGCTCCAGGAATACGGCTGGGATTGGTTGAAGTGGCATACCATTAGAAGCCGTGATGGTGTTGAGCACTTGTTAGCTGGGGTCACACTGGAAGCTAGAAGAGCTCAGGTGTGTGCTGATTTGCGCCGCGCCACTCAAGCTGATGATCTCAAGCGGTTAGTTGAGGAAATGGCCCAGAGCCATCGCAGCATGTGCCATTGGTCTTTGCTGTTGCACTCTCTTCGTGAAGACATGCGACAATACATGTGTGCAAATGCGGCTCGCAGGAGGCGGGACATGAAAGGTTTGCAAGAAGTGGATCGCGAAACGCTGCGGGCTCTCTGGAAGAAGGTGCCTGAAAATGATCATCCAACCCTGCGTTTTCTGATGCAAGGCGCAGCGATGACGGCTGATCGGGAGCACCGTGGTACCAAGGGACGGGTTTCCTCCATTTGCAGTCACTGTGCAATGGGGGTAGTTGAAGATGAAACTCATCGTTATTGGCAGTGTCCCTGCTGGACGGAGATTCGGCATGAACACTTGGGTGATGCATCCGATGAGTTGTGTGCTTCGCTCAGTCAGTTGCCGAGTGCCGCGTCCGTGTGCGCCCTCCCTGTGAAGCAACTTTCGTCCGGTGTTCGTGTTATGTGGCCCGAAATCTGCTCCTGCATGATCGCCATTCACCGGAGAGCGACAGCTGCTCATGCAAGTTCTGGGTGACTGAAAGCTGGCTGCGCTTACTGCGCTTGCAATTCACCGTCATGTCACGGTGGTGTTATGCTTGGCTTTGCGTGTTGCTGCCTGTGCTTTTGGGCCTGATCCGTGGTACTGGCATGCATGTTTCACGCTGTTTGCCAATTTGTACAGTGTGCCAGGTCTCCTTTCAAAGTAGGCTTGGCCTGCAATGCGAGTGATCTCGCGTGCCTGGGTGCATTTTTGTAAGTGGTGTTTCCACTTGTTCCTGTGGGCTTTGACGTCTTGTCTTCAGCCCCGCGCATCTCGAAGTTTGCCCTGCAGGGTATGCTGACCTATGTGTGGAGCTTCACATTGCTCCCTGAGGTTTGCGATCTGCGGTTGTTGACTTCAGTCGTTCCATGGGCATTGATGTTTGATCTTTGCCGTACGCCTGTTCAGTTTGCACTACGCAGGGTTTGCTGATCTATGTGTGGAGCCCAAGGTGTCCCTGAGGTCAGCGATCCTCCAGTTCGTCTGGGAAATGTTCTTAAATGAAGGCTGCATACGAAAATACACATGGTGCAGTTGAGGAAGCAGTCGAGCCATCGGACGACTGCTTGGCGTCTAAGGTCGACGAATTCGAGAACGTTGAGCCAACAGCTTCCCCCTTGAATGAGGTTACCAGCAAGAAGGCCGTACGCACACAGGGATTGCATGCAGACCACTGTGGATGAAGGAGGGGCAGTTCGGATTGTCAAGCAGAACCAACGAGGGAACATGCCTCAAAAGACTGAGGAGCTGCGCACGATTCTTTGCGGAGGCCAATGCATACTGGGCATACTGTTTCATGGCGGGAAGGTTCCGCAACAAGGCTTTCTTCAAGGACATGTCACCTGCTCCTTGGGCAGAGTATGTGAATTACATTTTAGGGGAAAAGGTCTACCTGATGAAGATACCTGTCCCTTCCCAGACTGGAAAGGGTAGTGATCAAACACCAGTGCGCCCACCATGGCAAGTTCTTCTGACCTACGAACATGAGTTGCGCAAGGAGGCGATCAAGCGGGCCTACCAGGAGACTCAGCCGTTGGTTGAAACACTTTTGGCAGTCATTCGCGATTCCCAGATCAAGGAACAGTTTTTCACTTCGCCGATTGCGTTGCAGAACCATGCAGGTGCAAAGCGTGCGTGGGCGGCCGAT